GTCTTGGCTGTGACTTTCTGGAAGCATCACTTGGCCTTTTTCCCAGTGAGCGTCTGGGTGGGTTTGAACCACCAATCTTGTGGTTAGTAGCTGTAGCTTGTGCTTGAGTATCTTTGTCACCTCTTCTTGATTAGTTTCAGACAATTATTTTTGTCTTGTTTGGACATGCAAAATATGCTGGTTACTAAGATCACAAGTGAAAAATTTCAATATTGATTGCAACAGTAAGAATATTGTTCATAGTTAAGATTTTAAGACTATTATAACATGAGTGAGTTGTCTATACTATTTCTGACAAGTCGTGGATCTATGTTCACATTTTAAAATAACTGCTTCTGAACTATACTCTTAGATATTTTGGTTGTGATTATTCATTTTTTTATAAGTGAATCTGCTGTTGTTTTTTAAATTAGTTTTTATTGACTTAAAATGTCAAAGATCTATTGGGATGTTTTGTTTAAAGCAGTGTTTCCCAAATTGAGTGGTGGCTCTTCCTGGGGTGGGGTGCTGAAGAGATCCAGTGGGGCTAAAAAAGCAGGTAGCTACATTTTATCCTAGATTGCGGGCTACAGTACAAAAGGTTTTCATTGCCAGATGGGCCTTGAATAATTTTTTTTTTTTTTCCTGAAAAGAGTGGTAGGCCAGTTAAGTTTGGGAACCTCTGGTTTTCGAGTTTTACATTGCTAACCCATGTCCAGATTTGAAGAGACTTGTTGAATTGGTTGGATTATACAAAACCAAGCACCCACCCCAAATTGCATTAAATGAATTCTACTAGTTGATGAAGGAAGTCCGGTGTTTCAGTGGTTAAAAGTATTTGGCTGCCAACTGGGAGGCTGGCAGTTCGCGTGCATCCACCAGCTGCTCTGTGGGAGAAAGACGTGCAGTCTGCATCCTCGAGGATGACGGCCTTGGAAACCCTGTGGGGCAGTGCTTCTCTGTCCTATAACACGGCCAGACATTGGACTCAACTGCAACAGGTTTACTGGTTGTTGAAAATTTAAACTTAAAAAACAAAACAAAAACAGACGAAACTTTCTTGATTGGCTTGTTGTCATCAACCAAAGTTACTGATGTGAAACATACCTTTTAAAAATAAAAAATGAATTATTTCATTTTGGTTGCAAAATAAAGAAGCATAGGTTTTAGGAGTTGTATATTATTTTTTATTTTCCAAGAGCGGGAACAAGGGGGATGCTTGCAGTCATGCGATCAACACAATACTACTTTGATTCTCTTGGCAAAAATGAGCAGACTGCACAAAGAATGGATATTTCAGAAATCATGTTGTTGATGTTGCCATTCTGACCCACAGCGACCCATGTACAGCAGAAGTGACCACTGCCCAGTTCTGCGCCAGCCTCAGCATTGTGGTCGTGTTTGACCCCACTGTTGCAGCCACTCTGTCAGTGCAGCTCACTGAGGGCCTTCCTCCTTGTCACTGCCCCTCCTCTTTCCCCGTGAGGTTCATCAGAACACAACCCAAGTGACTTTGATTTAAATTGACTGATAAGGTCACACTGGTTTTGAATTGAAAATTTTCTAGAGATGTTTACTATTAAAGGAGTGCCTGTGTGGTGGAAATAATTAATGCTCTTGTCTGCTGACCAAAATGTTGGTGGCTTGAGTCCATTCAAAAGTGTCTTGGAAGAAAGGCCTGGTGGTCTTACATTCAGCAAGTTTCCTACATGGTTTTACTCTGACATGAATGGAGTCATTCTGGTTTAAAATCATCTCCCTGAGAGCTGGTTTTTTGTTTTGGTTTGTGCTTTGTTTTTAACACTGTTAAAAACCCCGCATGTTCTTCTCCTTCTCTCTCTCTGTCCCTCTGTTCGTGTCTGCTTGATTTTTTGTTGCAATGTTCTTGTTCTTCCTCATTGTTCTCATGTTTGCCTCCTGCTGGTGCCTCTCCTCTCAGATCACTTTCTGTACCTCATTCTCTCATCTCGTCTCTCCTATACCTCAGGCTCTGAATTCATCTTTCCTCTCTCAGTACCTTCTCCCTCCAGGCACCCAGCTTTTGGGCTGCAATCCACTTTAGAGTTGAATGTCAAGGTCTCCAGTGGAAATGTGGAGGACTAATCTGGTGGGACAGTACTGGACAGGGTGCAGAGAGGCTAGGACAGAAGACAGGCGGGGGAGGACGGGCTACAAGTAGCTGGTGGCAGGGAGCCAGGAGGAGCTGGTTCGTCCTAGCTCTCTAGAACAAATGCCCTGCTCCCTGAATGTGCTGTTCTTTAGTTTTCTTAATCATGACCCAAGAATGTTTCCTGGAAGCTGTTTTCCTTGTGGCAGTAGTTTTGAATGTGCTTCTTGTTTCTTAAAAATGACTGCCTCCCTACCCCCACCCCCTTTCTCTTGGGACAGAAATATTTTATCCCTTATGCTGTTAGTGTTAGTGAAGGAGGATTATTCGGCCCATTCATCTTTTACCTTTTGCCAAGCTACTTTCTTTCCCTCTCAAAAAAGCAGCGACTTTATCTAAGGAATTTTTGCTTTGTGGGTTGTTTTCTGTGTCTTCATTTTCAATAGGACGAGGGACTCTTAAGCCCTCGGTTAACCATCAGTCATCTGTGTACATCGCTAAGCCCAGGTGTTTCACTCTCTGTCCCTTAAGGATTTCCGGGTCTGAACTCATGGGTACTTTTGGATAAGATGCCCCTTGAGTGGAAATTCTTGTGGGTAACCTCACCTCAGGCCAGATTACGCAATAAGCAAAGCCCAACACAGGCTTGCTTTTGCCTACTAACTAATTTCTAGTGAACAGTTGCACACGCGTTTCATCACATTTATGGTGAAAAACACTGAAGATGGATAGGACCAAAGTGTAAGTAAGCACAAGTAAACCCATGTTTACCTTGCTTCCTGGGCATGCCTTTCCTGTCAGAGACTGAATTTGAAAATGGGCTCTGGTTCTGTAGGAAGGTGCTGTGGGGCTGGGAGAAAAGCAGCTGCCAGATCTGGTGAACAAAAAAATGTGCAGTTGTTCATGATAGATTAGTGAGCACAAATCAGCTCGTCCTTACTTTGCATATTGGGTAATCTGACACTGCTTCACCTGCAAGACTGTGGGCATGGCACCCATGTAGCAACCTTTACGGGAGCTGGCCAGTCTCGGCCCTTTTCACAATGTGTGAAGAAGCCTTAGCCATGAATTCCTGCTGACAGGCTGACCTAGGGTCAGGCCAGTGGGTTAGAGACTAAGAATCTCTCAGGATATGAGGGAACCAAACACACACACACACACACACACACACACACACACACACACACACACACGGAGTAGACATGGCCTTGGCGGTTATAGGCCCACACATCATCTGAATGGGTGCCTCAGAAGGTCTGCCCTTAGTCCATTGAACATTGTGATTTAGACTGTGAGCCCTGGGGTTGCACTGACATGGATGAGAATCCCAGCCAGGACATCTTGAATTTAAGATGTGAATCGAAAAGAATTCAAGAATTTGCATCTTTTCCATTCTAGCTGTGTAATCTTGGATACTGAACCTCACTTAATACCCCCATCTGTGAAAAGGGGAATAAGAATAATATCAAATGAGTATAAAATGCTGGGAACATTTCTTGTGCATGGTTAATATTCATTAAATGATTGCGGATTTCTCTGGTGATTTAGGGCTCTTTGTGTTCTATGAATGGTTCTGTTGGCTGCCACAGAGTTTAGCCCTGACTCCTTGCGACCTCATACACAACAGAATGAAGGAAATATTGCCTGACCCTCTGCCACCCTCATAATTGGTTGTGGATCAAACTACGCTATTATATTGCTTTCCAACTATTCTAAAAAACAGCTTAAAGCTAGTAACGTGTAAAAGTGTGTTAATTTCCACGACAGCACATTGTCCGTAGAACTGTGAGCCAGCGGACTTCATACTTAGAACAAAAAATTATCATACCCCTTCAAAGGGCATATCTCTAATCCATAGAACATGGTTTTAAAATTCCCCAGGGGGTTGATAGCAAAACCGTTCCTGGACTTGGTTTTATTTCTTTTGCCTCTGTTTCCTAACATAAGAGCTGAGCACGCTCCCTTTAGCTCATATATTACACGCAGCGCAGGCTTTAATTGACTGCTATTTTGGATGTCTTACCTTATGCTGGCTTAATCTCTGATTGGAAAGCGTTCACTTCTTTCATGTTCCAGGCTCAGTGTCAGAGGTATCAGCGAGGCAGTAAGGACCTGTTTTCTTGGTGAAGGATACAAAACTCAGTTTTGATGATAGGAGTTGCAGCAGTCAAATAAGTTGTGTGGCAACCAACAAAAGGATTATAGTGGTTTAATTTAAGCTATAAATACAGATTCTAAATATATTACTAGGTTCTTGTAAGGATGTGTGCTTCACAAAAGAATATCAGCTTAACATCCTCATCAGTCAAAATCAAATCTACAGAAAAGGCTGCTGAAATTTGGGGGCCCTTTGTTTTCTTGTTTGGTTGGCTTTTTCTAAAGAGCACTGGTATTCCAGGGAGTCTTGATGGAAAATAATGTTAAAATTATTTTTTTTAATGTATGAACCTGTATAGTGGACTTTCAGAGCTATGGATTCATTTTATTTATTAGCTGATTTTGTAATGATTTGGGAAATTATTCTGTAGATAGTTTAGTAATAACCATAATTTTTAAGACTAGAACTCCTAGCAAGCCTTTCAGAGAGGGCAGAACTGGCCCTGTGAATTTCCTTTGGAGTCTACCCGCTGACAGAGTTTGAGTTTCAAGAATTCAACAGAATAGCTCAGCCTGGTGGGATAATCTGACAGTATACAGTAAAGACACTTTTGCTTCTTTACACTTAACTGTGCTAATATATTAATGTGTTTAAATTTTATTTGTGAGTACAAATGCCAATGAAAAATCATTGTGCTGCATAATATTTGATATAATTTTCATAATTCATTTTTGAAGGAGGACATAGTTATGCCCTGTATAATTTTTCAATGTTTTTTTTCAGTAAATGTGTTTGACTTATTTTTATTCTCCCCAGGTGAAAAGAAATGGACTATCTCAGTCAGTTAGCCAGGAGGAAAGAAAGAGGCAAGAGGTATGTTCTCCACAGCTCAGGTGCCTTAGCCCTGAGGAGTCGGAGTGTGGGTGCGTGTGCTTCCATTCTAGATGCTGGTCCAGTGCTGTCCTCTGATGACTTAATTAGCCAAAAGATAAGCCCAAACTCACTGCCATCATGTCAGCGCTAACTCATATCAACACACTGTGGATTTCTTTTTTTTTTTTTTTAACATTTTATTAGGGGCTCATACAACTGTCATCCCAATCCATACACACATCAATTGTGTAAAGCACATTTGTACATCATTTCTCAAAACATTTTCTCTCCACTCAAACTCCCGACATTAGGTCCTCATTTTTCCCCTCCCTGCCCGCTTCCCCCTCCCTCATGAGCCCTTGATAGTTTATAAATGGGTATTTTGTCATATCTTGCCCTGTCCGACGTCTCCCTTCACCCACTTTTCGGTTGTCTGTCCCCCAGGGAGGAGGTCACACACAGTTCCATGTAATCGGTTCCCTCTTTCCTACCCATTCTCCCTTTACCCTCCCTGTTTTGCCACTCACACCACTGGTCACACTGTGGATTTCTAAGAGTAGAAAGCCCAGTCTTTTCCTGAGGAATTGCTGCTGGTTTCGAACTGTTGGCCATGCAACTTACAGTCCAATGCATAGAATTAAACCAGTACAGATAGCCCTTAAGAAAATAACAATATAAATGATCCCCAAATCGTTTTAACTTATAAAAGACAAAGAATCTGGTCTAGGTATTTACATTGGAAAGATATGTCAAAAAGCAAACAAACAACAAAAACAAAACAACAACCCACCAGTAAAACATTATATTCTTCATCTGAAAAGGTCCTTAGTGGAAAAACGGGTGAAATCTGAACCAAGGCCATAGTAAGTAGACTCTCCCCTCACTTGTTAGCATGCCTAGGTCTCACAGATCAGGCTTCCCTTTCTTTTCTTCCTGCCATTCAAACGATTCCTACTCATGATGACCCTGGAGGACAGAGTAGAACTGTCCCTGTGAATTTCTGAGACTTTAAATCTTTACAGGAGCAGAGAGTCTCATCTCTTTCTCTCACATTGACTGGTGGGTTTGAACCACTAACCTTGTGGTTAGCAGCCCATTATGCTACCAGAGCTACTTAATAAATCAGGTCTGACTGTCTGCCATGGGGTCAATATGTGAAAATTGGCGTTATTTGAAAATGGACAGTGACCACGTCAGATCACAAAATAAAGCATGACTACTCATATTACATCATAACAGAACTTCCAGACCACTGAGAATCACGGACTAGCCAAGTGAACACATAGCCTTAACCAACACAAGTAGTGTGACACTTGCTGCACCTCTCGGTATTCCTTATTGCCAGCCATATGTTGTTATGTGCATAACAGTCCGGTAGTAAACTTTTCACTGTTTCACTGTAAATGGGAAATGTTGGATAATGATATAGTCAATCTATAAAAAGAGCATATCATTTACCAAGGTTAATGTCTTCCATTTTGACAGTTGTACCCTTGTTATTTTAGATATTAGAGGAAATTGGATGAAGAGTGGAGAGGAATTCTGAGCTTTCCTTGTAGGCTTCCTATAAATCTAAAGTTATTACAAAATAAAAATTTTGCTAAAAGGAAATAATGATAGCCATTGTATTTTACCAATGCAACTTAATTATACTGAATACATGTGTTATGTATTACATTTACAATGTTTTCTTCATGTTGTTTAAAGTAAAGGAAGTAAAGTTTATTTGATAATGTGTAAGTCCGATATTCTTCTCTGAGGCCCATTCCCTTCCTTTCCACTCTGTACTCATGACCTTTAAGACGATTCCAATTCCAAATCATAGCCGCCCTATAGGACACAGTAGGATTGCCCCAGAGGACTTCATCTATCTGGAAGCAGTCTGCTGCCACATCTTTCTCCCATGGAGAGGCTGGTGGCTTTAAGCCACCAACCTTTTTGTTAGCAGCCTGATGTTTATGAGAAATGAGTACGTATCCCCCCATTTTCTGTTTGCTTCTTTTTAAAGCACGAATTGCTGTGTGTCAGGTAGCTATGAGTCAAAGTTCATTTCACCTAACAACAAAGGATACATATGTGAGGAGGCATTAAAAGGTTCATGGGGAAAAAAATGGAGTTAAAAGATAATGGGATTTTTTTTCACAAACTTTAACTCTTCGTGTTGTTTTTGAAATCTATCCATGTTAATACATATAAATCTAGAGTAGTCATTCAAACCACTAGGTCATAGTGCACTCTGCAAATGCTGCCTTTTTAAATCTACTCTGCCACTGATAGGTGCTGGTAGCATAATGGTTATGTGGTGAGGTAGTTAGTTTATGGTGCCAACTTGGCCGATAAACACACGTGTGGTTAATTGAAGGGCAGAGGGATAAATGGCTTGGTGAGCCTCGCCTTTCGGGTTCTCGGGTCTCTTGCTTTGTGATGGTCGCACCAGGGTGCAGCTGCCATAGCAGTTCCCCACTTCAGCTGGCAAGGCTCACTTCCTGTGAGACATCCCTTAGGAGAAGCTACATGGACCTATCCCGATGCAGCCCTGGGTGCTGGAGCAGCCGTGTGGAGACCCTGCCAGCACTGAGATGCTTACACATTCACTGACTCGGCTTTCCTCCTGCAGTCGGCATCATTACGTGTGTTTTGTGAGATGGAGGAGGAAGGACTTTGTGAATTGGTGTTGGACATATGGGCTAATGTTGGACTTATGGGCTTGTACAGCACTGGGTTGGGATGTTTTCTTGATGTGCACTTACGCTTTATATAAAACTCTCTTCTACATGTGAGTTTCTGTGGATTTGTTTGTCTAATGTACCCAGACTAACACATGTGGTGAACACCGTCAGCAGTTTGAAACAACCATCCACTCCTTGGAAGACAGGTGCAGTTTTCTATTTCGATAAAGAGTTGCAGTGCCTGAAATCCACAGGGGCACTTCTATCCTATCCTATAGGGTCACTCACTGTGAGCTGGAATTGACTCCATGGCAGTAAGTTTGCTTGAGTGGAACCTCTTTGCTCTGTTAGTATTGTGAGATGTAGACAGTGCTTTGCCCTCCCCGTGAGTAAAATGCCAGAGCTTCTCTGGTTGCCTGACCCCATGTCAACTTTGCTGCCCTTTTTGGATCTTGTGGTTGAACTTATTCCATTTTCCTTATGGCTTGTGTTTTGTTTGTTTTTTTGTTAAAATTAATATTCAGATTTTCATATGAAAAAGTAATGACAGGAAAAAATCTAATTCTATTGTTCCTTTCCATTGTTCCGATTTTGTTAACATGTTTAAATGCTCAGTGGCTCTATGATGGTATGTTTTGTCCTTACATTCATTGTGCCAAACTTTATCTGCACTTTTTCATCCTTTCAATGTGGTCTCCTATTTACAGTTCAGCCTGTCTTTTGTGCTGCACTCTTAGTGTTCGATTTGATTATCAAATCTATTGCTTTAGGAAATATTTTAAGTTGCCAGTTAATCAACAGCCTGAGATCCATACTTTTGGCCAGAAAGGGGGGCTTTTCCTCAGGTTATGTTACACTTTCAGAGGATAATTATACTGGCTTGGATAGACTCAAACAAAAAACAATTTAAGTAAAACTCTTGGTATTCCCTTGGAGTGCAGCTGAGGCTAGAACACACATTTATGTAAGACTTCCCTAAAATGGAATGCTAAAACAGGAGGTGAACCTGGGTCTGGATTGGCACCATTAACATGACTTACAAAATACGGCTCACCCATCAGCAGTTTGGAGTCTACCTACCCCGTCTGCCTGGCCAGACCACAGGGAATTAATTATAGGCAGGATCCCCTGTGCCCTTTAAAGCAATGGGCTTCAAGGACAGTTACCTCCAAGACCAGACCAGGCTGATAACAGAAGTTGTAGTTACTAGGAAGGTCCAAGACTCTCACAATTCCTGCCAGAGGAGAAATTCTCCTTGTGTTGCCATTCTTGGAAGATCTGAATCTGATTTTGCTAATGAGCTCGATGGATTCCTCACACAGGGCGTTGGCGTCTGTCCGCAAATGTCGGTTGGCATTTCATCATTAACAAAAGCTTATCAGGAAAACCACTGTGTGCCTGACACCAAGAGTTTCAGCAGAGGATCCTTCCTTGAAGGCAGCTTGTCGAATGGATGGAAATGCTTTCAGTGGTGTACCTTTATAGAAAAGGGTTTCTGTGGTTTGGGAAAACCTTTTGTGGGTAGTTAGTCATGTTCCCTTAATACAGCCAGCTTACTCACCGTTCGTGCCCACAGATTCAAAGGATTAAACACAGTGAAAGAAACTCCATATGTGAGAGGGTCGCAAAGAAATATATTTATGAGAAATGTTTTCTAAGTCTACAGAGATGGCCATTCATCCCCACTGTCCTTGAAGCAGCATCCTTTGAAAGCAGGGCTCTAGGAGATGACCTCAAAGGTTAATTAATGTCACCCTGAGGCTTATGATATGCTTTCATTTCCTTTCGTAGCTCCTACCCCGTGGCAAAGGCATGACCTCAAGATGAAATCTTGAGCCATTGAAATGCTTTCTTTTTTTTCCTCTTGAGATTTGGGCTGATGTGCCTTGTGTAACGACAGTAGTGTGGGGGTACAGTTCTGTCAGTGCTCATTTTTCTGTGATTCTCAACATACGGCATTCCTTAGAGCGGGATTCTAAGAGGTGCATTTCGTTTTCTGATGAAAAGACGTCATGCCTTTCCTTTTACTTTCTTTCAGGCTATCTTTGAAGTCATATCCTCTGAACATTCGTATTTACTCAGCTTGGATATATTGATACGGATGTTTAAAAATTCTAAAGAACTCAGTGACACGATGACCAAGACAGAGAGTCACCATCTCTTCTCCAATATTACAGACGTCTCCGAGGCCAGCAAAAAGTAAGTTTGCCTTGCATTGTGCCAAGATGTTACTTGCAAATAAATAAAAGCCTGTTTCATTGCAAACAGAGAGAACTTAGGGTTGTAAAATTTCTCATTTATTCAGTTGGCTTTTGACTTTATTTTTTGAAATCTATTTTAAGGTATGTTTTAACTTGCTGAACTTTACCCAGGTGTAATTAACTACCACAGCAGACAGTGGTATGTAAGGACTCTCTATTATCTTTTCTTATTTCTGCACATTTTGCAATATTTTATTGCAGTGGGATGGGGAAGATAAGCCATATCGTTCCCATCAAAGGACAAATTATTTTTTTTTATATCTTCATATTTTCTTTGTTTATATCTGTCTGTCACATTTAAAATGCAACCACAATGAACAGAATTATTTGCCTTGTTTGGCCCTATGTAAAATTTGATAAGCCCTATTGTTTGAATCTTCATGGTTGCCTTAATGGCTGCAGAAAGCTCATGTACTGTTGTGTGAAATATGCAGCCTG